TAGACTATTTTAATAATAAATAGTAATAGTTATAATAGTAGTAGATATAATAATAATAGATATAATAGTAATAGATATAGTAGTAGTAGATATAATAGTAGTAGATATAATAATAGTAGATATAATAGTAATAGATATAATAGTAATAGATATAATAGTAGTAGATATAATAGTAATAGATATAATAATAGTAGATATAATAGTAATAGATATAATAGTAATAGATATAATAGTAATAGATATTAATAGTAGTAGCTATAGTAGAGATAGTTATAATAGATAGCTATAGTAGTAATAGATATAGTAGTAATAGCTATTATATTAAATTTATCGAATAAATATATCTAAATATAGAAATTTTAGTTGAAATATTTTATATATATATTATTTTATAATATAATATTATAGATATATTATATCGTAGAATATTTTATTAAGATTTTATATTATATTAGATATAAAATAATATAAATTTTAATAACTTATATTATATTAGAGTATAGTATAATAAATTAATATTTTATATTATATTATACCTTTTCGACTAATATAATAATCGAACGATTTTAATTCGTTTAAATATATATTATTCGATATTCTTTAATAATAGTAAATATAGCCTTTATAAGTATATCGATAATCGTCGCCTATAGAGATTTAATAGACTATAGTCTTATTTCTACTATCGTTATAAGTATTATTATAGCGATATAGTATATATTCTACGAGATAATATATAGAGATTATATAATAGCTATCGACCGATATATCGTATATATAAATCTTTTCTTCTTTATCTTAATAGATTTACGAATATATAAGTTATAATTACGACTATATCTATAACTATAACTAACGATATAAATATAAGAGTTTATACTATTATTATTATTACTATAAACGAGATTAATAGATTTATTAAAATCTCGAGTAGAGATTAAATAAACATAGTTTTTTATAGCTAGTATAAATCTTAAAATAATTCTACTATTATATCTATACTTAATTAATAAAGCTATTTAAATTTAATAATAAGTTAAATATTTATTAAAGACTTAATTCGAAATAATAGAAGATTATATTAATTTTAAACTTAACGTAATCGTTTTAATTAAGACTCTTAGTAATATATAATATCTTTTAAACGTAGCTTATAGTATTCTTTTTATTAGTTATATCTTTTCGAGTATAATAATAAGTCTTTAATTAAATAATAAGATCGATATAGCGAGATTTAAATTACTTAAGAATTACGATATACTATAGCTTAATAATAGTAACTTAATTTAAATCTAATTTAAAATCTTCTATAAGTTTATAATAATATTATTTAAATACTATTTTTCTTAATATACTTTAAAGATAAGTTTATATTAATCGATAACTTTTATAACTAATTACGCTTCGAATACGATTAATAAATATTTATACGTTATCGATATCGTTAAATTAGCTAATCTTCTCTAATCTCTATCTCTTATTTTTCGATTATAAGATAAGAAATATAATAGATAATATTTACTATTAAGAAGACTAAGAAGAAGGCTAATTTAATTACTACGAAGTTATTTACGAAGTAAATAAAGAAGATCTTAATCTAGCTTTAGCTATTTTAATATTTATTCTTTCTTTTATAATAGTTATATTAATAGCTATAATAATAGTTATATTAATAATAATACGCTATATTATTACTTCTAGATCTAATATAGTTATAAATAGTACGTTATCGCCGACAACTTATTTCTCGATCTCTTATAATTACTTTTAATCTCTTATAGAGTTAAATATAATAAGATCGATAGATCTATTAAAAGAATTAATTTAAATATAAGTTTTTAATTAAATAGTATTCGATAATTAACGAGTATATATAAGAGCTAGCTTAAAGCGTTATATTATTAAATATTAATATAAACTTTATATAAACGTCTAAAATAATATCTAGATATTCTATAAAGTAGAGCTAGATATTATTATTATTTATTAAGAAATAATATAATATAACTTATAAATATAATATAATATAAAAGATATTTATTAATCTATATACTCGTAGAGTAGATATATACGAAGATAGACGCGTTAAGATTTAATTAGAAAGATATATCGAGTATAAAGAATTAATTCGTAATAATAATCTTAATAATAAATATTTATTATAGCGATACTTCGATCGCCGTTATTCTTTTTAACCTCGCGAACTTTATTCTTTTTCTTATTTTAAATATATAATAATTACGCTTAATAATATAATATACTTTAAGAATTATATAATAATCGTTTATAAAGTCTATATATCTAATAGAATTTAATTTATCTTATAAAGTTTTAGATTAATTATTAACTTTTCTAATCTTACGTATTAATTATATATACTAGAGAAACTATTCTATTATATATTTATCTCGATATTTTAATAATTTAAAAAGCTCTAATATTAATAGAGTAGAAACATTTTATAATTTTCTAAATTCGTCTTTATAAGGCTATACCTTGAGATAGTATTTTAACTCGAAGAATATATATCCTTCGAGTATATGCTTTCAATTCAATGATATACTATTATCTAGAGTATAAGATAATACTGAAATTTCTAATTCTATATAGTAATTGGATTTGTGTATCTTTTAAGTTGTGTAGCCGTTGAATTTTCAGACGTTTTAAGCTTGCTTACACTCGACATTTATATAACCTTCCAGTTAATACACTGTCTCAGGGTGTGTAGCCTTCCGAGGACGAACCCAGCGAATCAGAGGCGTCCCTACTCTCCCAGTGCCAGAATCGGAGCGTAGGAAGTGGGCCAAAATTGGAGCTTTGTAAGGTTAGGTTTTGTGGGGGTGGGGTTGTTTTCCAAAAATGGAGCTGGAGGGACGGTCCAAAAATGGAACGAAAAAGTGTGAGGAAGACGAGATGAAGGGAATCCAGAAGTAGAGCAGGAATTTCAGAGATATATCGGTGCTCGTCTATACAAATTTCCCTAGCCGTTCTCTGCTAAGGACGTTGCCGTCGAATTAACAGGAAAGCTAGAGAATGCCTTGCGCAGCGAAACCAAAAGCACAGCAGTTCGCCAGAAGGAAACCAAACTTAATGAAAAAGGCAGATCAGCTAGCGCGATTATGTCACGCAGATATTACATTAATCATCCGCAGAAATAGAAAGTATTATACTTATCGATCGACTGATCACGAACGGTGGCCTCCCAGCATGACAGAGATCCTACGTATGAATCTGATATATCGACGTTTGAGCTAACTCGAGCTCAGGATCCGTGGGGCCATGTCTAGGGACCGAGCTGGTTGGATGTATTGTGTGTCGAGTTGTGTGCCGAGATCGCTGACGCTTATCAGCGTGTCGGGTGGTCAGTATCTGAATTAATTCAAGGAAACTATCCGCTCGCTGTTCCGGATCGTCTGCAAGAGTTGAACGAAAGAACAACTTCATGTTGGATTTCTGTTGATCCCCGAAACTCGCCATTGATTCAATCATCTCGTAAGTAAATGCGATTAGCCTCTTTTCCCTTTTCAAGCTCTCAAGTAAGGTGTATTCAATCGGAACATCAGCTAATGGCGAAGAATCATCTTCCAGGCTCCCAAAAAGTGAGTCATTTCCAGGCATCGACTGCAAGCTTTGCGATTTGCGCAGGAGGTCTCGATGGAAGAGAAGCCATAAAAAAAGCATACCAAAAGAGAAAAAATCACATCTTTGGGCTGCGGCGTAGGAAAATCTGCGTGGATGATATTCGGGGGCATACCAAGGCATAGAGCATGGTAGACTGACTAGACCATCTTCCGTGACCTTCGTAGAGAAGCCAAAATCGGCCACTTTCGCTGGTCACCGTGTCTCGACCCCTCGAATATTCGCAGGAAAAGTGGAAGTCCTATTATACTACGTTCCCTCTAGCTAGCTAGGTGCAACTATCCACGATCTTTGCCCCAATCGTTCTCTCCAGAAACGACATCTCCATCTCTCGATCCCTCTTTTGGAAAGCTAAGCTTCCCATCCCATTCCTCACTTCAACCGTGGTCCGAGATCAGAGACGCTGGATTTAGGGATAAGAAGACTAAAAGAGCCGCTGAAGTTTTTCGATACTATCGTATCAAAATCCCCTAGAAGGGCATTTTATTCTATATTCGAAGGCTTATTAGAGAGAGAGAAGAATCGCGATTAGTACGTACGTTATAGAGAGAATTTATAGTAGATACGAGTAGCGAAGTACGTCTTATATTTTTTTAATAGGTTATAAGCTAGAGAGTATATTTTAAGGGGGGGGGAGGGTATTCAAGTATCTATTATGAAGAAAGGGGAGGAGGGGGGCTGTTGTAGAGCTGTCAGAGGGAGATTGAGAACGAGAGATTGCAGTAAAGCAGATAGTCAGATAGCCTAGGGGTCAGCTTCGGCGCGCACGGCTTGAGAGCATTAGGGGTGTGTGTTGGGCAGATGTGAGATTTTGTGGGCTGTGATATATGCACATATTGATGTCTTTCCTGTTTCTTGTGGCTACTCCGCGTTTTCTTTTAGCGAGGGGGTTAAATTAAATTAATAAATATTTTCAACTTCGAAGAGTAGATAAGTAAGATGAATTCGATTCTCGATCGAAAGTTTAAACTGCGTATTCTTGGGCTAGCGTTATATATATTTACGCGCGCGCGAAAATAAATAGAAGACGAGGAGGGGAAGTAAACTTCAATTATACTTCGTCGAATTTATAAGATTCTCTAGAGATCGAGGTACATGACAATCATGGCGCGACTTACAAACGTAAAACAAAAGACATTCCTAGCTAGCCACCAGAGCCTTGAGCAAATCCGAGGTAAAAGGCTCCTAACCTTGACGATGCAGACATCCCATTATTCAAAAATCAGCATTGCTCAGAATCCAAAAGGCTCTGTAACACCCCGACGCATAGAAAGAAGCTGCAGCAAGAATTCACAGTTCATTGAAAAGACAGTCGTCGTCGGGTTCACTACGTCCGGCGAAGGAGTAATGGCAGCACAGAGCTAGCGTGGAGTTTGTGAGGTAGGAATGCTGGGAATCACGGGCATTCGCTCTTCCCGCTGCTGAGTCCCATTCCCATATCCGGAGGTCTGGTCGTCCATAGGTTCGAGGTGGCGTGAGCTGTGGATAGATTCGTAGCGTTCTCTACGGGCTCGCTCTAGTTCTCTTTCACCCAAAGACGCGTTGGTTCCGAAGGCGTACTTGTGATTCCAGATGTTACGACGGTGCTGCTCTTCGAAGTGAACATTCTCGCTTGGTGTTCCATTGCGATGATATGAATCATCTGGATTACGTAGGTCAGAGAGTGTTACGTTATCTCGGTCCTTGGCTGCATACCTTTCGTCCGCCTCCACGCAGCCTTGACCATCAGTTTCTCGCAACCTTTCTGCCAAGAATTCACAAAATCAAAAGGAGCCAATTCGAAACAATCATCTTCGACGGCCGCAGTCTGGAAAATTGATGCTTCATGTTTTTGAAAGACATTATGCTCGGTCAGGATGTCCTCTCCGATGATGACGTCTGAGCAGCAGTATTTTAGAACCTCAAAGGTTACCGGGATCCTTTCGCCACTTGCGAAAGTCCAGTGGGTTTTCACTTGCCCTACAGTCAGATCATAACTCCCATCCGCGAATTGGAGGGGGCCACAGTGCTTCGGCCCTCTTTGGATTTCGAGGCCATTTTCCAAGGCATATTGCAAGCTCATAACATTCCTATCCGCTCCTGTGTCAGGTATCGCAAGGACTAAGAGGTTGTCGGCCAAGGTTCCATGCAGTCGTTGACATGTTTCGCCCAGAAAGCTGAAGTGCGGAATGTTGTTGACCGCTCTGAAGAGGCATTTGGTAAGACGATGGCAGAATTCGGTCAAAGTCTTTGTGGCTGTCAGAAAAGAGTTCCCTAATATCAGCTCGTACGTGCAATGTGGTAGAACGTGACAAAGAATTGGGAAAGACTCTTTCGGTTTATCGGCAAAAGTCCAATGAAGAGACACAGTTCCTGAGAAACGAGAGATCAATGGCGTTAGCTCGAATGCCATATTCGCTACTGGCAAGGCCTTCACAAGGAAATACAGCATATAGGTATGTACTTACCGAGGGATTGAATCTTGCGTGAACTGCCGATTGCAAAGGTAGATGGCAGCCCCTCGATACTGAGGTCCAGCTTCTTCGCATAAGATGCAGATATTACATTCGTTCTTGATCCCGTGTCAGCCATGGCGGCGATTCTGGAACCATTCGCAAAGCCAACCAATCCTTGTTTGGTCCTTAGGAGACTACCGACTCCTGAAGTAGATTCCACGGGAGTCAACCTTTCTCGTTTTTCTCCTTCCTGCCTCTTGAAGGTCGCTGGCCTCGATAAACCAGGGGAGACTTTGCGAGAAAGGCGCCTGATGCCATCTAGAAGCGCGTCTTTTGGCGAAATGGTTTTTGGTACATTTTGCATTGGTGGATTGTACAGCTTGTCCCCGTGTCGCCACATTCGAGCCGGCATTGAGTAATTGGCTGCTAATCTGCTTAGAGCTGGACTCGCTGAAGGATGTTGGGAGGCGAGAAAAAAGTCGTGGTGCTCATGCAATAATTGTTTGTGAAGTGCAATGAGTGACTGCCACTGATCGTTCTTCAAGTCAGTCTTTTTGGAGGGGTCCTTCTCCTGGGCGGCAGCTGATTGGCTTTCGTCAATATCAGTACACTTAGCTTCCACCATGACTAAGCCAGCCCAGATACCCTCCAGTTCTACTACAAGCTGTTCATGAGAGATGGGCCTAGTGTCTGGTTGTAGGAGCATTTCAGGCAGAGCTTCCAAGCCTTCAGAGGGCTCGTGTCCCGGCGGGGAGTCCTCATCGGAAGGCGGCGCCTCCATTTTTCCTAATGTTCCTCGTAATAATCTTTGTGATCTTGAGGGACGATCGAGTCGTCTAGGTTTTGAGGGATGATTCTTAGTGGCAAGAGGCTCGACCTTCTCGGTCTGATTGTTGTTCTTGTCTTTATGCAATACATTCCCTGGATTTAGAGCAGAGACTCCAGGCATTTCAGATTTCGTGAAAAGGTAAGCCATATCATCTTCTTCTGCGTCGTTCAAGTCCTCTAGCAGCGCGTCCAAATCTTCCAGCAGCGCGTCCTTTGGCGAAATAGTTTTTGGCACATTTTGCATTGATGGCTTGTACAGCTCGTCTTCATATACCTCTGAAATGGTGCTATCCAGCTTGTAGCTGCGAAGAAAGGGATAGGGAGAGTCTGACGCATAGTTTGGTTCAAACATCGAGGGTGATGGCTCTTTGATTGAGAAGGCTGCTGCGGACGATTCTCTGTATGAGGCCATCGACTTTGGACTGAGGATCTTATTCAATCGCCCCGGCGAAAAAGCGAATGGGTTATTGGGCACTTCAAGATCTTTCTCGTACCTTTCGTCAGGCGCGACTTCTGGGCTTAGATCGGCTGCTTGAATTTTGGGTCGTATTGAATCTGAGTTAAGAGATGCAACAAAGGATTTGAGTATTTGTACGCCATTACCTCTTTAAAAAAGGCTGCATCTTATTCCGATATTACTGCCATCCTGTATGCCGCGAAATTTGGCAGCGGTATACTTTTTAGGCCAAGTAAGTTGCAGATATTGGATGGATCAGGATTTTTTTCACTGCCTACACATCTCTGGTACAATTGATATGGTAATTGATGTGTGGGTTATAATTGTTTGATGAAATTGGAATCAGAGTTTGGAGAACAGACGAGTTATGAGATGGAAGATGGTAGTCTGTTGAGGCTGTAATTGCGGCTGAGACCAAGCGCCACCACTGCGCCCAAGGGGCAGGGGTTAATCCTCTTTGCAAAACCATTTGCGGGGGCCACCCACCAAATTTTCGCCGTAACCACCGCCAAATGTGCGCAAGAGGTATTTCGCATTACATAGACATAGAACCACATTCAAGTAGCCGTTACAGTAGTCACTGTAGCTATTTAAGTAGATTATAAGTAATTACTATCTAAAAATCGGGCAGAACCTCTATATAGAGTGGTGAAAAAAAAATGGGCTGGGGCACACCAAAATGGAGCTCTATAACTGCACTCCCTGTACATCGCGTATCAGACGGCTAGACTGTGCCAGAAACACGTCGTTAAACGACTTATTGACAGATCTTTATGCGCGAGACTGATCTATAAGGATATGGTGTAGTGGTGAGGTATGCCCCATGATGTAGCTTTACCGGACCACCTCTTGTCAGCCTATGCTGTCTGCAGTGCTCCCAGTAGTGCTCTATCCAGTGGTCTCAGTAGTAGTGCTCTGTCCAGTGGTCCCAGCAGTGCTCTGTCCAGTGCTCCCAGTAGCAGTGCTCTGTCCAGTGCTCTCAGTAGCAGTGCTCTGTCCAGTGGTCCCAGTAGTGCTCTCAGTAGTGCTCTGTCCAGTGGTCCCAGTAGTAGTGCTCTGTCCAGTGGTCCCAGTAGTGCTCTCAGTAGTGCTCTGTCTAGTGGTCCCAGTAGTAGTGCTCTATCCAGTGCTCCCAGCAGTGCGCTGTCCAGTGCTTCCAGTAGTAGTGCTCTGTCCAGTGGTCCCAGTAGTGCTCCCAGTAGTGCTCTGTCCAGTGGTCCCAGTAGTAGTGCTCTGTCCAGTGCTCTGTCCAGTGGTCCCAATAGTGCTCTGTCCAGTGGTCCCAGTAGTGCTCTGTCCAGTACTCTCAGTAGTAGTGCTCTGTCCAGTGCTCTGTCCAGTGGTCTGTCCAGTGCTCTGTCCAGTGGTCCCAGTAAAGTAGGTAGGTAGGTAGGTAGGTAGGTAGCTACGCAGCAAGGTAGGTAGATAGGTAGCTGCGCAGCAGTGAAGGTAAGTAGGTAGGTAGGTAGGTAGGTAGGTAGCTGCGCAGCAGTGAAGGTAAGTAGGTAGGTAGGTAGGTAGGTAGGTAGGTAGCTGCGCAGCAGTGTAGGTAAGTAGGTAGGTAGGTAGGTAGGTAGGTAGGTAGGTAAGTAGGTAGGTAGGTAGGTAGGTAGGTAGGTAGGTAGGTAGGTAGGTAGGCGCGCAGCAATGTAGATAAGTGCGCAGCAGTAGACAGGTTTAGCAACGAATTTCAAAAGAATGATTCAAAGCGGGAACAGCCCTACCCTTCTACCGCTAACCCGATTAGGTAATATCATAGATCTCGGCAAAACCTTTACCGAAGAGTAACAAATCTCTTTAAATTTCACTTATTCTTCTTCTTTCATTACATATATATCTTATAAACTTCTTTAATAATAAGACTCTTATTATAACGATCTTTATAGTTATATTACTAGGCTATTAAATTATAATCGCTACTATATTACGTTATAAATATATCTCTCTAACGAAGTATATAATAATTATTTATAAAAAATAGAGAAATACTATATTCTCGTAGTAAGAAGTATCGAAATATTAAAAAGAATTAAAGATATTAGACTAATTAATAGTAGATATCTTACGAGTTCTTCTATCGTAGTAAAAGCTTTTAAATAATAAAATAACTATTAAAAGAAGATATCTTATTAGAATTTTAGATATATAATATATAGAACGAACGAATTAATTCTTTAAAATCTCTTCGAGATTAAATTCTAAATATAGTATAAAATTAGATAATTAAAAAATATAATAACTAAAATACGCGAGAGCTATATTTCGACATATCGAATAATTTTAATTTATTTAAATATATATTATTCGATAGATAATTTTTATCTATAGAGATCTAATTAGTTATAATCGACGTAGTAGATTTTTCTCTTATATATTTATTATAGTAATATATTATAATATAATATTATCTAGATACGCGAAGATAGTAGATTAAATTATAATATTATTCTTTACTTATTATATAATAATTTAACGTAAGATTATAGAGAGTATATAATGTAAAATCTTAAAGAGCTAAGCGATATTCTTAATAATAATAGCTTTATTACCGCTTGGTTTCTCCGTAGTATTCTCCTTATTTACCTGTTATAATGTTTCCTCCTCTTACTTAACTAAGTACTCTAGCTAAGTGGCTGACTGAGTGACTAGCTAAGTAGCTAACTGAATAAATTAATATAAGATCGTAAAGAGTAGATTTATTATATTATTACTACTATTAACTATCTTCGTAATATTCTTTATATTTATCTACTATAGTAATTTCTTCTCTTATTAAGTATTAGACTAATATAAAATCGTAAAGAGTAGATCTATTATATTACTACTACTACTAACTATCTTTATAATATTCTTTATATTTATCTACTATAGTAGTTTCTTTTCTTATTAAATATCGAGTTAATATAAGATTATAAAGAGTAAATCTATTATATTATTACTACTACTAACTATCTTTATAATATTCTTCGCATTTATCTACTATAGTAATTTCTTCTCTTACTAAGTATCGAACTAGTATAAGATCGTAAAGAGTAGATTTATTATATTATTACTACTGCTAATTATCTTCGTAATTCTCTCTATAATATATTATTTCTTCTCTTATAGAATATTAGATTAAGTAACTAGCTAAGTAGCTAACTAAATAGACTAATATAAGATTATAAAGAGTAGAGCTATTATATTACTACTACTACTAACTATCTTCGTAATATTCTTTATATTTATCTACTATAGTAATTTCTTTTCTTATTAAATATTAAACTAGTATAAAATCGTAAAGAGTAAATCTATTATATTACTACTACTAATAACTATCTTCGTAATATTCTTCGTATTTATCTACTATAATAGTTCTTTCTCTTACTAAGTATTAGATTAATATAAGATCGTAAAGAGTAAACTTATTATATTACTACTACTAATAACTATCTTCGTAATATTCTTTATATTTATCTACTATAATAATTTCTTCTCTTACTAAGTATTAAGCTAATATAAGATCGTAGAGAGTAGATCTATTATATTACTACTACTACTAACTATCTTCGTAATATTCTCTATATTATATTACTTCTTCTCTTATAGAATATTAGATTAAGTAGCTAAGTAAGTAACTAATTAAGTAACTAGCTAAGTAGAGTAATAAGCTAGTAAAGTAAATAGTACTAATTAAGTAACTAACTAAATAGCTTATAGTTATTATATATTATAAGAATAAGAGATATATATAATAATATCTAGATAGATAGATAGATTATTTCTTTATTTTTACTATATTTAAATAAGTAGTTACGCTAACGTCGTATAAGATAACTTTATAATTAAATTACTATTTTATAATATAAAATAGTAATTTAATTTGTAAATAATCGACGAGGCTAATAACTACTCTATATAGTTAGTCTATTAAATTATTACCCTTTTCGTTTTAAATTATTCTTTTGAATTACATTGCTAAACCTGTCTACTGAAGAGACTACTGGGACCACTGGACAGAGCACTACTGAGAGCACTACCGAGAGCACTGAACAGAGCACTACTACTGGGACCACTGGACAGAGCACTACTGAGAGCACTATATGAAAGCCAACCGATCAACTGACACTTGACGGAAGGCAATAGAACGGACAACATAAGGGACTTTGATGGAAGTAAGACGGGACAGAATTGAGGAGGCATGGCCCGAAGACAACCCCTTTAATCAGTACTGTTTCTTTTCTTTTCTTTTCTCTATATCTTTGTATAAACTAGATATCGAATAACTATATAGATAGAAGATATTAGATAGTAGTAGATATCTCTATTAAGATACGCTAGATCTTAATAGATTATAGAGCTAAATAATATATTAAGAGAGATATAGAATACGCTTATAATACTATTCTCTTTCTCTTATAGAATTATATCTTTATAATTAATAAGTAGAAGAGTAGTAAAAATAGTATATATATACGCTCGCTTAAAAATTGATGAAATAATAAAGAACTTTTAATATCTAAGATCTTTAATACTACGGTCTTTCTCTAGCGATAGTATAAATAGCGAGAGCTTATATCTTAATCTTTACGTTAACATTATCGCTAGTTAGAGATATAGCGAGTATAGAAATTCTAGTCTAAAAGAAATTGATATAATAATAGATAAGTAGTAATTATAAGTATTTTAATAGATAATAGTAATTCTCGAGTTAATATTTTAGCGTAAAGAATATTAATAAAATAATATAACTTAATTAATTAAGAGATCTTAAATTAAATCGAGTTATAGACGTTAAACTTTAATTTAATATTAAATTAGTTTAGCGTAAGTCTCTTTATAATATATTATTTAGTTAATATTAATTATATTTAGCGATAATAATAGTAAGATTCGCGTATAATCTAATATAGCTTTAAAATATATTAAGAGTTATATTAATAAGAAAAGTTAACTTAATAGATTTAAACTAAGAC